GTGGTAGTAATGCAAATAAGGATCGCGGTAATCGTAGTCTGCTACAGTCAGCGCAAGTTTGCACTACCATGAGCTATGCTGACTTGGATCGCCCCAGGCTGCCTCAGCCACGCGGGCCACGAGCGACCACGGAGCCACGGGCTACACGCCAACGAATCTCACTTTGAGAGCCGCCCCGCACGCGAGGGCCGCGACCTGCACACGATGCGCCGTGCCGGACTCGTCGGATGCCTGGCAGGCTCACGCGGCCACCGGTTCGCGCCCAGGCTTCGGGGTTGCGGAAGGTGCCCCTGGCCCAAGGTGCCCCCGGTGTTTCGCTCAACTTTGGAACCCCTGGGGCCCTCCGGGCCTCGTGCGGGGGTGCTCTGGAGGCCGTGGGGGATGCCCTGGAAATCCTGGGGACACCTTGGGCCAGGGGCACTTCTAGCAACACAAAGCCAAAAGAGGAAACCATGCACAAAATAGACTTTCGAAGGTCCGCGCAGATTTTTTGGATCCGCGCTGCGCACCCCCGCCCTGGCGTGCGGAGCGCGCCATGGTCGGCGCTGGAGGCGCCGCCAGGAGGATCCACCGCAGATCCAAGAAATCCTCGCGAAGCGCCCGAAGTGCATGTCCATGCAGCATTTCTCCTTCGAGGAGCAACGAGCAGCTGGGGGGGCGATCACATGTACATCATGCCCGACTCGCGGCCCTTGTTCTTCACGATCTGCTCGGTCATCATGCCCTTCCAGGCGTCCTTGTAGGTGTCCGCGACCTCCTCTTTGAGATGCACGATGGCCTTAGCAGGGTCCAGGCCCTTGGGGCAGCAGTTCGTGCAGTTCATGATCCCATGGCAACGGTAGAGCTTCATGGTGTCGTTTACCCACGCGAGGCGCTCCTCCGTGAACTGGTCGCGAGAGTCCGCGATCCACCGGTACGCCTGCATCAGCACTGCTGGTCCCAGGTAGTACTCCGGGTTCCACCAGTAGGACGGGCACGATGTCATGCAGCAGGCGCACAAGATGCACTCGTACATGCCGTCCAACTTGGCGCGGTCCTCCCGGCTCTGGAAGTACTCCTTCTCCCCCTTGGCCTTCGCGTCCTTGCGCTTGAGCCAGGGCTCGATCGACTTGTACTGGTTGTAGAAGTTCGTGAGGTCGGGCACGAGGTCCTTGACAACGTACGTGTGGGGCAGCGGCTGGATCTCGATCGGCGCCGGGCCGGGCTCGATGTAGAGGAGGCACGCGAGGCCGTTCTTGCCGTTGATGTTCATGGCGCAGGAGCCACAGATGCCCTCCCGGCAGGAGCGGCGGAACGTGAGGGTGGGGTCCACCTCGTCCTTGACCTTTCAAGGGGAACTGGGACACACAAATAAATACACACAAATAAAAAGATTCCCCATATTTTCCTATATTTTGGGGGCTTTTGTCTTCCCCCCCCCACACTTCCCATATTTCCCCATATTCTCCTGGGAATCGACGATGAATTGTGTCTGTGTGTTTCTTCCCCTCCTGAACCTTGATGAGGGCGTCCAGGATCATGGGGCCGCAGCTCTGGAGGTCGATGGTGTACTCCTGGAGGAAGGGCTTGGCCTGCAGACGAGCGCGCTCCACCGCTCGCAGGGCAACTGCTCGCAGGTGGCCCGGCTGCGCCGCGGGGGACCCACGGTGGAAATGCCTCGAAGACGGACCTGCGCTGTTCGGGCGTGTGCGAGCATAGGCACTCTGCGAGCAGCGGAGCGCGCTCGGCGAGCCTGGGTGTCGGGGTCGTAGCGGTAGATCGCGAACTTCTGCGGGGAGGCCATGTCGGCGAAACCACGGGCGGCCGGGCCCGCGCTCGCCTCGCGAGGAGCTTCTGACCCGGGTCAATCCAGACCCGGGTCAGCGGAAATCGAAAAACTGCAGCGCAGGAAAAAAAACTGCGGCGCAGGTCTTCGCAAACCCGGGTCAGCCAATGTGCGTGGCCGCCTCGCGGCCACGAGCGGCTCGCTGACCCGGGTCAGCCAGAGGGGGTCTTCGCAGGATCCTGCAGGATCCGGTGCCCTGGCTAACCCCCGTTTACATTGACCCCCGTCTCGAGGCTCCCGATCGCCCTCGCCAGCGCCAGCGCCGGCGGGCTGGCCGCCGGGCGCAGGGTCCTGGACAGCGCTCGGGCGAGCATCGCGGGGGCCCTCGGGCGGGGTGCCCACCAGACCACCCCGACCCAACCAGAGGACCCGAATTTCGGGTTTGGGGGGGGGGTACGGGTTACACACGTGGTTTTTCGGCGTTCCCCGACGCCCCCCCCCCCCCACTGGAGATGGAGGGCAGATCGGGGCCTTCGGGCTGGGTTCGGGTGGTTTGGTGGGCATTGATGGGCGGGGCGGGGTGCTGGAGGTCCAGCGGGCGTGCGCGCCCGGGGGGGCACAGAAAAAGTTGGCCGAAGGGGCTGCGGAGAGGAGGGGGTGGAGGGTGGAGAGAGGAGCAGCAGGGGCAGCAGCAGGCCCAGGAGGACCAGAGTAGATCTCAAGACAGCCCCAAGCAGACCCGCCAGGCGGCCGAGGGAGGCCCAAAACGGCACAATACGGTCCAAGACAGCCCCCAAGAGGGCCCCAAAGAGGGCTCCAAGAGGCCCCCAGGCAACTCGGCGACCCACAGGATCCCAAGACAGCCCCAACAAGGACCAGGAAAAGCCACTCAATGAATAGAGGCGAAAAGTGTCATACAGGTTACGGCCCTCTGTGCGGTACTTGAAGCGCGGCCACAGAGCGTGCTGCGCTGGCAAGGTGGCGGGACTTGCCGCTCGATATGTCCCATCTCTCTCTTTTTTTTTTTCTCTCTCTCTCTCTCTTTTTCGCGCTCTCTCTCTCTCTCTCTCTCCCTCTCTCTCTCCCTCTCTCTCTCTCTCCCTCGGGAAACCAAAAAATAGTTACCGGCACCACTACTCCCTGGACCTCTCCCGGGGTGCGTTCTGACCAGAATTTCTAAGCGAATCTAGCCGTGGCGACGAGGGCCTCCTAGGAGGCCCAAAACGGCGAAAATCATCCTAATATAGCAGTCTCGGCACATTGTCCGCCTCTGACTCCCTATCTATTTTTTCGCCTACCATCCTGTGGTGTTGGGTCCTCGCTTTGAAGAGACGGTCCCCGCGTTCCTCTCCTCTCCTCTCCTCTCCTCTCCTCTCCTCTCCTCTCCTCTCCTCTCCTCTCCTCTCCTCTCCTCCTCCCCATCCTCCCTCCTCCATCACAATCATCATCACCACCCGTTTCAGCACACCCCTCACACGCTTCGCAGCCGCATAGGGAGCTCCACCGAAGGCCCCAATTGGACCGCCCGCATGCGTCACGCACCACCCAGTACAGCGCTTCGTGGACCCATAGGAAGCTCCACCGACGGCCCCGATTGGACCGACCGCATGCGTGACGCATCAACCAGTACAGCGCTTCGTGGCCCCATAACGAGCTCCACCGAAGGCCCCAATGGGGCCGCCCGCATGCGTCACGCACCACCCAGTACAGCACTTCGTGGCCCCATAGGGAGCTCCACCGAAGGCCCCAGTGGCAAAATCCGCATGCGTCACGCACCACCCAGTACAGCGTTTCGTGGCCCTATAGGGAGCTCCACCGAAGGCCCCGATGGGACCGCCCGCATGCGTGACGCACCAACCAGTACAGCGCCTCGTGGACCCATAGGGAGCTCCACCGACGGCCCCGATTGGACCGCCCGCATGCGTCACGCACCACACAGTACAGCGCTTCGCGGCCCCATAACGAGCTCCACCGAAGGCCCCAATGGGACCGCCCGCATGCGTCACGCACCACCCAGTACAGCGTTTCGTGGCCCCGTAGGGAGGAGCTCCACCGAAGGTCCCAATGGGTCAGCCCGCATGCGTCACGCACACTCCAGTACAAATTCGTGGCCGTTATGAAGCTCCACCGGAGGTCCCAGTGGGACCGCCCGCATGCGTCACGCACCAGCCAGTACAGCGCTTCGTGGCCCATAGGGAGCTCCACCGACGGCCCCAGTGGCACCGCCCGCATGCGTCACGCATCACCCAGTACAGCGTTTCGTGGCCCTACAGGGAGCTCCACCGAAGGTCCCAGTGGGACCGCCCGCACGCGGCACGTTCCACCCAGTACAGCGTTTCGTGGCCCCATAGGGAGCTCCACCAACGGCCATAGTGGGACCGCCCGCATGCGCCACGCACCACCCAGCACAGCGTTTCGTGGCCCAGTAGGGGGGCCCCACCGACGGCCCCAGTGGGACCGCCCGCATGCGTCACGCACCACCCAGTACAGCGTTTCGTGGCCCCATAGGGAGCTCCACCGAAGGTCCCAGTGGAACCGCCCGCATGCGTCCCGCACACCCAGTACAGCGCTTCGTGGCCCCATAGGGAGCCCCACCGAAGGTCCCAGCGGGACCGCCCGCATGCGTCACGCACACCCAGTACAACGTTTCGTGGCCCCATAGGGAGCCCCACCGAAGGTCCCAGCGAGGCCGCCCGCATGCGTCGCCCCCACCCTGTACAACGCTTCGTGTCCCCATGGGGAGCCCCACCGAAGGTCCCAGTTGGACCGCCCGCATGCGTCCCGCACACCCAGTACAGGGTTTCGCAGCCCCATAGGGAGCCCCACCGAAGGTCCCAATGGGACCGCCCGCATGCGCCAAGCACACCCATTACAGCGCTTCGTGGCTCCATTATGGAGCCCCACCAATCCGTGGCCTTCTAGGGAGCTCCACCGAAGGCCTCACTGGCAAAGTCCACATCGTTCCCCCACCCAGCACAACGTTTCGTGAGGCCCCAGTGGCAAAGTCCGCATGCGTCTCCCCACCCAGCACAACGCTTCGTGGCCCCATAACGAGCTCCACCGAAGGCCCCAGTGGCAAATTCCGCATGCGTCCCCCCCACCCAGCACAACGCTTCGTGGCCCCATAGGGAGATCCACCGAAGGCCCCAGTGGCAAAGTCCGCATGCGTCTCCCCTACCCAGCACAACGTTTCGTGGCCCATAGGGAGCTCCGCTGGAGGCCCCAGTGGCAAAGTCCGCATGCGTCTCCCCCACCCAGTGCAGGTTTCGTGGCCCATAGGGAGCTCCACCGAAGGCCCCAGTGGCAAACTTCGCATGCGTCTCCCCCACCCAGTGCAGCGCTTCGTGGCCCCATAGGGAGCTCCACCGAATACGATACCCATAATTGCGGTATTCACAACTACATGTGGTTGGGTCCTTTGCCAGGTTAATTATTTTGGTTTGTTCTCTCTCTCTATCTCTATCTCTCTCTCTCTCTCTCTTTCTCTCTCGGTGTGGGGGCCGGCAAGGTGAGGGTCCACACACTAGCTCATGACGCCAACGCGACCCACGGCGCGACAGAACGCCAGCGGCGTCCGAGCTCACACCACGCCTCATCGAGCCCCCTCTGGCATGATGAGGGACATCTGCTGCGGCGCGCGAAACAGGGAACGGAGGAGGAGGAGGAGGAGGAGGAGGAGGAGGAGGGGGCCCCCGCACCTCGATGCAGCCACGGAGGAGGAGGAGGAGGAGGAGGAGGAGGAGGAAGAGGGAGGAGGAGGAAGAGGGAGGAGGCGCGGCAGGAGGCAGGAGGAGGAAGAGAAGGAGGAGGAGGAAGAGGGAGGAGGCGAGGGAAGAGGAGGAGGATGAGGAGGAAGGAGGAGTAGGAGGAGGGGAAGGAGGAGGAAAAACCCTACGCAGTTGGCTGCAGCCCCCGCACCTCGGACGCACCGCGCGGCTCCAGACTCGGAGGCGCCCCCGCGGCCGTGGCCGCACGGCCGAACGGCCGCGGACGGCCGCGCGGCCCACGCGCGGCCTCAGACCGCCGGGCCCCGCAGCTGCCGGCGGTGCGCGGACGCGCCCTGCTGAAGGAACGACACGGCCTCGCCGCCGTTCCAGGGGAGCGCGGGGGGAGGCGACTCTGGGCCGGGGGGCCCGGTCAGACCAGTGGCCATGGGGAGCGGGGGGCCGTGTCAGAGGGAGGGCACCTCTGGGGAGTGGGGGGGGCCCGGGAGGCAACTCTGAGGGGGAGCGGGGGGCCATGTCGGACCACTCCCAACCGACTGGCACCAGTTCCAACCAAGCGGGCCGCTGCTCAAGCGTTCCAGGGGAGGGGGAGGGAGGCAACTCTGGGGCGGGGGGGAGGAGGGGGGAGAGGGGGGCCATGTCGGACCAATCCAAGCCGACTGGTACCAATGCCAACCGAGCGGGCCGCTGCTCAACAATTCCAGGGAATGGGGAGGGATGCAACTCTGGGGCGGGGGAAGGAGGGGGGAGAGGGGGGGGGCATATCGGACCAATCCCAGCCGACTGGTACCAAGTCCAACCAAGCGGGAAACTGCTCAACCTACCAAGAAACCAACTGGTCCGTACAGTGGGATTCTGTGGTGCGTAGAGCAGGTGAAGACGATTGAGAAATCAAATGCACGTCTTGAAAGTACACCTTCATTCTGGCTGACAATATGAGCGCCACGTTTGGAATTGGTACAAGGGGTGCTCAATTCCCTGTCACAGGGGGGCCCTTGCCTGACACAGGGGGACCCAAACGTATCATAATAACCACTCGCGCTGTCCGAAAAACGGCTGTCGCAAGAACGACTCCCTCGTATCACACGAACAACCCTCTCGCATCACAAGCACGACTCGTCCTTGTCATACGAACGTCTCACAGAATCACAAGAACAGACAACTGTTTCGTGGAGTTGTGCTGTTGTGAAACTGAGCGGTGGTCGCCAACATTACTGAAGCTTTACGGCTGGTGCATGGGAGCTGGACCGCGTTCGCACGACAGTTGCGTAATGCTCCGCAGATTTTGGGTTTTGATGTGAGAGCTGTGGGAGCTCCATCAGCGAGCAATCCGAGACTCAAAAACGAAGTGTGGATACCAAACAGAGCATGAAACACTTCCAAATGACAAGCTGGCTGTGCACATAGGAAAGCTAGACTTGTCAAGTGTAACCAGAAAGCAGATTTCATGTGCGCCAGCTGCGCAAACGAGCTGTAACATGGCATATGGCACCTCGAGGGTTCGCGTAATCTGACGTGGGGTCGGTGTGAAATGCGCAACATGTGTTCAGAATGTAATGTGGGAATTCAGCTGTTTGCTTGTAGTCTATAGCGTGCGATCATTGCTTATAGTGTTGCTTGTTGTGCCATCGGTTGTTGTATTACGAAGATATCGTGTTGCCTTGCTTAGTGAGCTATTGATTCACTGTGCTGCTTGTGTGCGTGTGTGTGGTATCTCATCCGTGTCTGTAAAGGATATAATGTGAAACGCGCCGATCCCAACTGACCATTTCATGATGTAATGGGCCTTCGTCGGAATAGCTCCCAATGGGACCAGGAAACATTCTACTGGGCGGGGGGGACTCATGCGAACTGCACACCTGGGACCTTCGGTGGAGGTCCCTATGGGGCCACGAAGCGTTGTACTGGGTGGGGGAGGCGCATGCGAACTGTGCCACTGGGACCTTCGGTGGAGCTCCTCTGGGGCCACGAAAACGCATGCGAACTGCGCCACTGGGACCTTCGGCGAGGCCCCCTCTGAGGCCACGAAACGCTGTACTGGGTCGGGAGACGCATGCGGCCCATGCCGTTGGGACCTTCGGTGGAGCTTCCTCTGAAGCCGCGAAGCGTTGTACTGGGTGGGAGAGACGCGTGCGAACTGCGCAACTGGGTCCTTCAGTGGAGCCCCCTAAGGGCCACGAAGCGCTGTACTGGGTGGGAGAGACGCATGCGAACTGCGCCAGTGGGACCTTCGGTTGAGTTTCCTCGGGAGTCACGAAACGCTATACTGGGTAGGAGCGACGCATGCGAACTGCGCCACTGGGACCTTCGGTGGAGATCCACCTGGGGCCACGACGCGCTGTACTGGGTGGGGGAGACGCTTGCGAATTGCGCCACTGAAACATTCGGCGCAGCTCCCCCTGGGGCCACGAAGTGCTGTGGGTGAGACGCATGCGAACTGCGCCGCGGGGGCATTGGGTGGAGGTCCCTATGGGGCCACGAAGCGCAGTGCTAGGTGATGCTGGTGACGACAACGACGGGGACATGCCGAAGGCCGAGGCAGGGACGGGAGGAAGGAGGAGGGGGAGGCGAAGGAGAGGAGAAGAGGAGAGGGACGCGGGGACTGCCTCTTCAGAACGAGGACCCAACACTAGGTTGGTTGGTACAAACACTCTTGCGGCAGAAGACCCGCTCCAAGCAAGGGGGTGGAAAACGATTTCAGGGAGGTCTTCGTAAGAGCGATAACAAAAACTACCAAGCCCGATTGATGGGGTCAAAAGTTAAGACTAAGGCCCATTGAATACAACTACTTGCCCAAATATGGCGAATTCGATGGGTTCACGCAACAAAATGGGATCATGCCGGATTCGGCTGGTCTGCGTCCACGGCTATACCAGCGCCGATGCTGAAATTAAAACCCCAGGACTTGCATCATAAGGAAGTGAAGGGAAGGGGAGAAAACGAGGAGAGCAGGGGGGGACACGAGTGGGAAGGAACAGAAAGGATGGAGGATGGCACGGCCTGGCCGTCCAAGATCTGCAGTGCCTCCCTGAGGCCGTCCATCTCCTTCTCCCGCCGCTTCACCTGGGGATCCACGAAAGTCGGCGAACGCCATGGCTCCTCCGTATACTTGCCAGGTACTAAAGTTGTTGACCATCGGCGGAAAATTGCAAAGCTGGTCCCGCGTGCCGCTAACGACCGAAATGGATGCAGAAGTGCCCTGATGCGGAGGCGCGAGCGTTCGTGAGCTCTTTGGGATGGAAGGCCAGCCAAGCAAGAGCGACAGCGTTGTATAAGGATTCCCAGGGCCACACTGCGTCAAAACGAGAACGATTGCAATGGAGCATCGCGTTGGCATCGGCATGACAACGACGATGACGAAGATGACGCTGGCAATCTTGAGTGACCCATGCGGAGTGATTGCGTTGTGAGTGGGTCCCAAGTTGGAGTGAATGTCGGGTCTGTTCCTTATGGGGCGGCGTAACTATCGCACCGTTCTGAATATACACAAATATGTTGTACGGGGTACGAGTCCATCGGATCCAGACCGCTCCCTGACCAAAAACCTGTCTCTAAGATTGCATGGGGGGGTCGGGGGGGTCCGAAACTTGACGTCTCATGGCCAAAACTGTAGTACCACCCGTGTATCCCCTCCTTCTCTGCCCCGATACTCAAATATTTCTGACCTCATTTTCTCCCTCCCTCCTCCTTCCCCCCTCCTCCTCCCTCTCTCCCCCTCCCTCCTCCTCCCTCCTCCCTCCTCCCTCCTCCTCCGACTCCGCCTCCTCTCCTCCTTCCCATCCTCCTCCTCCTCCTCCTCCTCCTCCTCCTCCTCCCCTCCTCCTCCTCCTCCTCCTCCTCCATCAAAACCCGCATCAGCATCACTATAGTCATCATTATCATCATTACCATAGTCATCTTCGTCGTCAGCAGCGGCAGCATAACCAGCATCAAGATCACCATCAACATCAACATCGGCATCACCATCATTCGCATCATCGTCATCATAATCATGCGCATCCTCATCCTCATCATCACCGTCATCATCGTCAGCATCGTCATCATAATTAACACCATCACCGACAACACCGTCATCGTCATCGTCATCTTCAGCGTCATCATCATCATCATCATCATCATCATCATCATCATCACCATCGTCATCATCATCGTCATCGTCGTCTTCATCGTCGTCATCATAATCAGCATGATCATCACCAACATCGTCATCATCATAATCATCATCGTCATCGTCATCGCAATCATCGTCATCAGCAGCATCAGCATCCTCATCATCATCATCATCATCACCACCATCATCATCAGCAACATCATCGGCATCATCATCATCGTCGTCGTCATCAGCATCAGCATCGTCATCAGCATCAGCACCAACATGGCAGCATCGACATCAGCATAATCATCGCCATCATCGTCAACACTGTCACCGTCATACCCAACACCGTCAGCATCATCATCATAATCATCATCGTCGTCATCATCATGCTCATCACCAGCATCGCCATAATCACCATTATCATCATGATGATGCTCATCATCATCATCATCATCATTATCAACTCCTTCACAACCAGCGTCATCATCATCGTCGTCGTCATCATCGATACCGTCATCGTCAGCACCACCACCAGCACCATCGTCATCATCAGATTCATCAGCATCAGCAGCATCCTGATCAACATCATCAGCATCATAATCAGCAGCAGCATCAGTAACATCAGCATCAGCATCATCATCATCATCAGCATCAGCAGCAGCATCATCAGCATCGTCATCGTCGCCATCATCATCACGATCACCAACATCGTCACAATCATCATCATCAGCATCGTCAACATCGTCATCATCATCATCATCATCATCATCATCATATTCGTCGCCATCGTCATCGTCATCATCATCGTCATCGTGGCCATTGGCATCATCAACATCATCACCATCATGACAATCAGTATCACCATCATCATCATCATCATCGTCATCGTCAGCATCAGCATCAGCATCATCAGCAGCATCGTCATCATCATCATCATCATCACCACAATCACCATCATCAACATCATTATCAGCAGCATCGTCATCGTCATCGTCATCGTCATCGTCATCGTCATCGTCATCGTCGTAATCATCGTCCTCATCACCGTCACCATCATCATCATCATCATCATCATCACCAGCATCACCATCATCACCATAATCATCACCAGCATCATCGTAATCGCAATCATCACCTTGATCGTCATCATCATGCTCACCTTTATCAACGTCATTGCCGTCATCATCAGCATCATCATCGTGATGAACGTCATCAGCAGCATTATCATCATAAGCATCACCATCATGATCATGATCCTCATCACCATCAGCAGCATCATGATGATCATAATCGTCACCAGCCTCGTCATCACCCTCATCATCAGCATCATCGTTATCGTCATCACTATCATCACCACCATCATCAGCAGCATCATCATCAGCATCATCGTAACCATCATCGTCACCATCATCGTCACCATCATCATCATCATCATCATCATCATCGTCATCGTCATCACCATCGTCATAATCATCGTCATCGTCATTGTCATCATCATCACCATCACCATCATCATCAGCAGCATCATCAGCATCATCGTCGTCATCATCATCAGCATCATCGTCATCACCATCGTCATCATCTTCATCATCACCATGACCACCATTGTCATCACCAACATCAGCAGCATCATTATCAGCAGCATCATCATCATCACCAACGTAATCATCATCATCATCATCATCATCATCATCATCAGCACCATCATCATTACCAGCATCGTCATCACTATCATCACCATGACCATCACCATCATCATCATCATCGTCATCGTCATCAGTACCAACAGACTCATCATCATCATCATTATGATCATCATCAACACACTCATCATCATCACCATCATCATCAGCATCAGTATCAGCATTATCAACAGCATCATCATCAGCATCATCACCAGCATCATCACCAGCACCATCATCATTATCAGCATCATCATCACCATCATCATCACCATGACCAGCACCATCATCAGCATCATCATCGTCGTCGTTATCATCATATCTATTCCTTCTCCCCTGGTCTCCCTCCGCGCCCCCCTCCGCTCGCCCCCCCCCACCCCTCCCTGGAGGCAGAAACGGTGGCGGGAAGACGTGCTTGCAGTCTGCCTCCGGGCCATGCCTCCTCCTCCTCCTCAGATTTAGACGAGCGCGTTCCACTACTCGCAAAGTAGCTACTCGAAAATAGCCTGAATCCGCCGCGGGGGATCTACGATAAATTACATCGAGGCAGACATGTGTGTGTCGGACTTTTGCGAGTAGGCACTTTGCGAGTAGTGGAACGTGCTCCGTGAAGATTGCCGTTGGTCCCAGCCTCTTCCGAGCGCCGCGGGACCCTTTGCCGCCTCTCAAAGGGGTCGTTTCCCCCAGGAGCGACGCGCGAGAGGCGGCCGTTCCCGGGGGGGGGGGGCGCTAGCCCTCCTCCTCCCGTCGCGGCAATTGTTGTGGCGCTGGTTGCGCGACGCGCCCACCTCGCACTTGACTGCGTGCCCGCCGTGCGGTCGAGGGCCTCGTTGCAGAGACTTCCATCCTCGCGGCGGTGCTGGCAGCGGGAGCCAGGCGGGCAGACCTGGACACAGAGCCGCCGCTTGAGGTTGTCACAGAAGTGCGCGCCTCCCCCATCCTCCCTTCCCTCCCTCCCTCTCTCCATCCCGCCCTCCATCCATCCCTCCTCCTCCTTCTTCTCCTCCTCCTCTGAATTCTTCTTCTTGTTCTTCCTCCTCCTCCTCCTCCTCTTCCACCTCCTCCTCCTCCTCCTCCACCTCCCTTTCCTCCTCCTCCTCCTCCTCCTCATCATCATCATCATCATCATCAGCATCAGCATCAGCATCAGCATCAGCATCATCATCATCATCATCAGCAGCAGCAGCAGCATCATCATCCCTCCTCCCCGCGATGCCTTCTCTTCGTACGGCTCGGCCTTCGCGACGCACTGCTCCAGCAACTTGGCCTGGAACTCGCCCACGGCGTCCGCCTCGGCCTGCAGGCTGTCCCGGTCCGCGCCCATCTCCGCGGCGGACTTCCCCAGGGCCTCCGAAGCGGGGGAGATCGAGGAGAGGGCGGATGATGAGGAGGTAGAGGGAGGAACCGCAGACCAGTGCGCCCCTTGGAAGCCCGCAGGGCGACCAGAGGGTGCGATGAGTCGAAGGTCAGCCCGCCCGCCAGCGCGTGCAGCTGAGGCAGGAAAGCGCCGGCCTGCTTTCCGCGCTTAGCGCGCAGCCGTAAAGAATTCTCTGTTTTATTATCATCTTATATATATATATAAGAAATGCAGCAGTAAAGAATTCTGCGGCATGGGCGGGACGGCGGCGGGCGACAGGGCGGGAGGGGGCGGGAGCAGAGAAGAAGCTGCACGAGCGGCCCCCCCACTCCAAGGGGGGCGGTCGGCATGCATTGGCTCACCACGCTTTGGGTGCGTGCCCTGCGCAGCTCGCCCGACGTGCATGTTCTGATCGGCAAGCGTTGAAGGAACCCGAGACGGCCGCTTGCGTCTGAGCATCGAATTGTGAAGTTTGCCAGAGCTGCCATGCGCTCCGCAGAGCCTGCAGCAGAAAAGGGCAGACTCCGCGGCGACATCGCCAGCCCCAGGCTCCAACACAGGAGTGGGGGGACCCTGGACTGACAACGGATCAGGCTCCAGGATGCGGCCAGCAGCCTCGCAGGCTAGCTGCACAGCCTCCGATCGAGCAGACTCAAGACTGAAATCAGAGGCACGGAACCACTACTCGCAGGCAAGCCTCTGGACAGGAGACGACGCGCAGGTTCTGCTGCCTCTGCTGGTGATGAGGCTCTCGATTGAGACGGCCGTTTGACCGAACCTCCCACCTCGTCTGCAACTCATTTCACCAACAACAGTGATGTGCCAGAACCCATGACTGGTCACTGGGCTCCCCGGAGGAGCGGGCGGGGCAGTGGAGCGGGGAGGGCAGTCGGGGTCCAGGGCGGTCCAGGACCTGGTTCCCAACATCCTTTTGGGGGCACGAGCGGCCAGACGGATCGTCGGCTGATGGTAGCTGAGCCCCCCTGACGAAGCTCTGCAAAGACCCTCCGCAACAAGATGCGACAGGGCCCCTCACCTGGCGAACAAGTCCGCCAAGAGGCTCCCTGCCCAAAACCTGGCGCACGTCCCCCTTCTCCAAGGTGCCGTCAGAACTCGAGTGAGCAGGGCGTCGTCGGAACTGCGGGACCCTGGCCAGACCGAGAGCAAATCTACTGCCCCACGCGGCGGCGTGCTCGGCTAAGCTTCTTGCCTGTTCAGGGTTCCTCCTCTTCCGCCTCCTCCTCCTCCTCCTCCTCCTCCTCCGCCCTCCCCCTCCTCCTCCTCCTCCTCCTCCTCCTCCTCCTCCTCCTCCTCCTCCTCCTCCGCCCTCCCCCTCCTCCTCCTCCTCCTCCTCCTCCTACTCCTCCTCCTCCTCCTCCTCCTCCTCCGGCCCGGAAATCAGAAACCCGGAGACGCGCGCCAGGGCGGCGACGCACCGACCGTCCGACCATCCGCATTTTCGGCTCTGCCGATCGTCGCGCGGGCCCCCGGCAGCGCTGCAGAATTCGCCCGCGCGGCAGCAGGCGCTCCAACAACTGGACGGATGCCCATCCAGCTCGAGAGAGACATCAGGGGTGCTGGACCGAAACCAACTGCCGTCCAAGCTGCCCACCTGTCCCTCGCCTGCAGCACGACAGCACCTCGACCGTCGCGTGCCACTAAGTATACGACACGGAGGGGTTGTATGTTGCATGTGCACGCTAGCTGCTGTGGGGGTGAATGCCAGGGCAACCCTCACGCGGCCGCCGCCTGCAGGCGCAAACCTCCCCCACGCCCGGGGGACCCCCCCCCCCTGTGCAGCCACCAATCCCACGCTCGGGCACCCTGCGCCTTCATCTGCGGGTGGGGGTCCCTGTCGTGGGGCTGTGGGCTGCGAGGGGGCCACCCTGTGGGTAGTGGGAGAGGCCCCTGCGCCTTTCCCACTCTGGCGAGGGATGGCCGAAGCAAGCCTCCTGCAGCAGGGAGCCACTGCCATGCCGGTGAGTGTGGCCTCCCCGCCGCGTCTGCAAGCTCAGCCCTCACATGTCGCTACGGCCGCCTCCCAGTTCACGTACGTTTCCCTACTCTCCCCTCACATTGATGAGCCCTCCCCTCCTCCTCCTCCTCCTTCTTCTTCTTCTTCTTCCTCTTCGTACTTTTCGAATTCTCCCTGTCGCCAGTCGCGTTTCTGAACTTTTCTAAACTCCCACACCCCGACCATTCTGGTCGCGAGGCGTACTCGCTTGATCACGCCTCCAGAGCCGACAGGCCCTGAGAGAGAGAAAGAGAGAGAGAGAGAGAAAGAGAGAGAGAGAGAGAGCGGAGGAGGACGAGGAGGAGGAGGAGGAGGAGGCGGAGGAGGAGGAGGAGGAGGAGGAGGAGGAGCAGTCGCCCACTCCAACCAAGGCGGGCGCCAGCCTTGGAGCGCAGGCCGCGGGGGCCAGCCCAGCTTCACAGGACTGGTTGAAGACGATCCTTCGCGGCGCTCAGCGCGATGAGTGGCCCTCGTGGGTGCAGTCGATCCCGTGAGTCTTGACCTCCAGGTAGATGAAGCACGAGAGGATGAGGCACTGGAGAGAGCTCTAGAGCGAGTGCCCCTCCAGCTTGTGGACAGGGCGAGCTCAAGCCGATGCGGTCGAGCACGCCGTCCTGGGCGAGGGTGCGCGGTGGACTCGCAAGGTGGCACAGCCGATCGCACAGCGGGTAATGCGGATGGAACTGCGTGCGCCGACGCAGCCGAACTTGCACGAGTCGACCTCGGGCGTGACGTGCATCCTCGGGCTGGTGTGCCGCCTGCCAGCTGGCGTCCGCAATCATAACCCAGCGCGATGACGATGGGAAAAAACAGCGGGAAAAACACACACACACAAACACACACACACACACACACACACGAAAACACACACAAACAAACAAACAACACACAAAACACACACAACAAAAAACACACACACACACACACGGTGGGAAAAACAACACACTGGTGGGAAACAAAAACACACGCTTTGTAAACAGCACACACGGTGTGTGTGTGTGTGTTTCCCCACGGTGTGTGTGTTTTCCCACGGTGTGTGTGTGTGTGTGTGTATGTTTTTGTCCCCACCGGTGGACTAAGTGCAAGATGTGCTTTCAGTACTCGACAGCGAGCATCAAGGTCGTGCTGCCAGGGCCACACGACGCCTCCAAGCGTTCTTGCAGAATGACCTCGAAACTGTCGGGCATCCAATGGGCGATCAACACGTTGATGAAATGGCGCTGGGGCTTCGATGTGATACCGTCCTGCTCGTCATCGCGCACGGCACGCTTTGCAATCATCGAGGTCCTGACCATAGCGTGGCGGCGGCGAGGAGGGTTCACCAGCGACTCGAGGAGGAGGAAGAGGAGGAGGAGGAGGAGGAGGAGGAGGAGGAGGAGGAGAGGCGCGCGAACCTGTCCACAGCTTCGAGCTTCGAGGAGGAAGAGGAAGAGGAGGAGGAGGAGGAGGAAGAGGAGGGGGAGGAGGAAGAGGGGACCCCCCCCCAGTGGGCCTTTGATGCCTTGATCTTCAAGCTCACGATCTTCTCCTTCTCCGCCGTCGCAATGGCGTTGTCCTTGCTGTCCTCCTCGTAAGCGGCCTGAGCGGCCCCCTCCTCCGACTCGATCGAGTAGAGCCTCTTCGAGAAGTCCCCCTCCATGACCTCGAAGGTCGGGGGAATCATAGGGGGGAGGGAAAAGGGAGGAGGGAAAGGGGAGGGAAAAGGAATCATAGGGGGGAGGGAAAAGGAATCATTGGGGGGAGGGAAAAGGAGGAGGGACAAGGGGGGGAGGGAGGAGGGAAAAGGGAGGAATCATAGGGGGAGGGATAAGGAATCATAGGGGGGAGGGAAAAGGGAGGAGGGAGCGGGCCCATGACCTCCAGGAGGCCCATGACGCCCGAAGACGGTCCGCTTTGGCTGGTGCTGTCCTGAAGGGGGGGGGGCAAGAAGGGGATGACGGGGAGGACGGAGAGGAAGAGGAGAAAGAGGCTGGGGAGAAGGATAAGATTGACGCACACACACACACACACACACACACACACACACACACACACACACACACACACACACACACACACGCATACACACTGTGATGTCCGCCCCCCTAAAAAAATGATATGCACATGGTGCAGGGCGGAAGGCTCTGGAGCCATCGTAGAGAGCTCGCTCCTCTACTGTACCTTGACGCGCAAGTATGTCGCCGCGCCACGTGGCATCATAAGGCACACGAACACATCTCCTACACTTCCGCGTTGACCTAATGCTGCGTTCCGGAATACCCATTATCTTAACGCCTAGGCCATCCTTCGAGCGAAAAGGAGTTTGAGGGGTTCAGGGCCTTGCAGATCGATGTGCGTGTGTGTCGTTGCAGGAAATCGACGTGAGTCCCACCAGCCCTCTGGACGTGAGTGGTCTGTGGAGCTCGTTCTGCCGACCCCCTTCTTCTCCCTCGGAGAGGGGTCCCCTCCTCCCACCCCCCACCCCTGGCTTTGTAGGGGGGCGCCCCGCGAAGCGTCAGGTTGACCAGGGTGAGCCCAAGATGGCCTCCAGGATGGCCCAATGTACCCCTATCATGATTCAAGATAGCCTCATACATGCACCCGAAAGCCCTCAAGACCGCCGCAAGACGGCCCCAAGTGCTCTCTGAGCCTCCCGAGGAGGCCCCCAGGAGGCCAGAATACTTCAACGCCCATGTGTTGTTCAGTGTGTGTTGTTTTCTTGCCTTTTCGGTTCCGATGGGCTCCTGGGGCCTCTAGATGGTCGGAACGAGCGGAAGCGCGGAAATGAGGCCAGCGCTGCAGCGGGGGCACGACTCGCAACAAGCGGTAGCCCGAAAATGAAGCCAGGGCTTCAGCGAGAGCAGCATTTTTTGAAACGCATCCAGCGAGAACCCGCGTCCCGGGAATCCTGCTGTGTTAAAAAACAGCACGCGGGGAGGGGGGCCGAACACTCCCCGGACGCCACCAGGGGAGAGAGGAAGTCGTATCCATATTGTGTAATCGTAGAAGGAGGGCGAAGGGGGGGGGGGTCCCAGGTCAGGGTCAAGGCCGGCGGCCCTCCCCTCCCCTCCCCGGTGCCCTTTGTGGGCAGGAAGGGCACTCGCCATCGCTCCGACGCCCGTTCCCCGTGCGTCTGTCAGCCTCGTGCGCGCCTTATTGTCCGCAAGGGGATCCCGAATGCTCCCCGATGGTCACCGCCAGGACAAAAGGCGCGTCCAAGCGATGCCAAGGACCACAGCGGGGGGGGGGGGGGGGCATGTGGGAGGGGCGGGCCTGGACCCGTCTGCGGTGGGGGAGTGGGCTCGGGTCAGAAGGCCGCCCCCTCCCCGGGGCCCACGCGGGGCCGGGGGGGGGGGGGAGGCGCCAAGGGGGGTCCCCGGGGAGGTCCCGCCGTCAGGGTCGGCGGCACAGGCCGCAATGGCAGCAGGAAGGGGCGCGGTTTCCGTCGCGGCACGCAGAGGCGATCCGCTCGCGCGCCGAGCAGCCCAGGCTACGGAGTTGCGAGTTGTCCCGCGTGCAAGAGAAGAGGGGAGGGAACGGGAAGAAAGAGGCTGCCGCGGAGGGGGAGGTCGGGAGGGAGCGCTCTCACGCGGCGGCGCCGCTGGGAGCGCGCGGGGCGGCCACGCAGGAAGCGGCACAACCTACGGAAGGGAACGGGCCAGATGTCAGTAACCTGGGCCGACGCCTTGGGCCAGCTGCATGCTGATCCACAGCGGTTGCGGAGTGAGGTGGAGGAGAAGGGGAGGAAGCGGCGGAGAAGGACGAGCGGCCAGAGGACACGAAGGACGCAAGGACCTGGGCAAGGAGAGGACGGGGAGGGGGAGGGGCGGGCAGCCGGAGGAGGAAGAGGCGGCACAGCGTGCTGGCGCTGCCCCGTCCTGGCCGCCGTCGTCGTCCTTCGAGTAGTAGTCGCGCAGGACCCTCAGGGCGGCCTGGGTGCCCTGCAGGGCCCGCTGCAGCTCCTCCGTCTCCTGCTCGTACATGGCCTTCTGCTTGGAGCGGATCTCGTCCATGCTCTTCTGCGACTGCACTATGTCGGACAACTCCTCCTGGAGTGTGGTGATCTCCTCAGGCAGCCAGGTGAACCCATGAGGGCCTCAGAGAGCCCAAGATGACTTCCAGGATGGCCCAAGACAGCCCAAAATGGCTCATTATGGCTCCCAAGATGCTCCAAGAGGCCCCAAGACCGCTCCAAGACGGCTCGTGGCCACGGAGCCTCCCCAGGAGGCCGCCAAGGAATATCAATGAATTGTGCCTTCTCGCTTCTCCGTTTCCGATGGCCTTCCGAGCCCAGCGTTGGACGGGCCTGCAGGGCTAGGGTTCGCTTGCAGTCGCAGGCTCCTCCACTACCTTGGCCGACTCGGCCGACTGCTGGTCCACTATGGTGGAGACCTTCGAGATCTCCTGGGCCTTGTCGTCCACCTTTGCCTGGGTCTCCGCCATCTCCTTGTCGCAGTACGCCTTGTGGTCGGCCTCCTTCGAGGCTTCCTCCTCCATCCTGGCGATCATGCTCGACACCATGCTCCTCACCTTCGCGAAGGGGTCCTCTCGGGTCGGGCGAAAGGGGGGGATAGCAAAGGGGGGGTTGAGAATCAGCTCACGTAGCTGATTTTCCTGGCGCCTCCTGGCGCCGGAGGCGGCCATGTATCGAGGAATGGGCCCCTCGGTGAGGCCGAAACCAGCTGCATGCAGCAAATTCCCAATCCCCCCCTTTCGCCCGGCCCGATCCTCGGCGGACGAGCCCTTCGACCGCAGCACCGAGTCCATGTAACGGAACAGCTGCGTCAGAGACCTCGACTTTCGCTCCTTGGCGAGCCTCTCGGGGGGGCGGCAATGATCGGGGAGGAGGAGGAGGAGGAGGAGGAGGAGGAGGAGGAGGAGGAGGAGAAGAAGGAGGAGGAGGAGGAGGAGGAGGAGGAGGAGGTGGAGGAGGAGGTGGAGGAGGAGGAGGAGGAGGAGGAGGTGGAGAGGGAGGGGGAAGGCCAAGCGAGACCACGGCGGCTCCCCAGGCACGGCCCTTATCTGCTCAGGATCCTTCCCTCGACCCCATCCCGGGGTCCATCCTGACCATTGGGCGTGGCTTAGTGGGGGGGTCATAAATGGGGGGGTCAGAAACGGTCCCCTTTCGTGCCCCTTTCGGGCCCCTCTGGAGCCCCAGGGGGCTCGTTTAGGTACCGTTTGGGTACCTTTTCGGACCACCCGCGACACCCCCCCATTTATGACCCCTCCATTACGCAACGCCCAAGACCAGTTGTTCGACGCGGATCCGGCCGTGGCGACGAGAAGCCTCCAGGAGGCCCAGAAGAGGACGAGCAACGTCTTCCTCCGACGTGGGGCGGGGGCGGCCGGCGGAGCGCGCAGAAAAACGTCCGCTCACGCTCCCATCGCTCGGGGGACACGCGTGGCCGCGTCTCGGGGCCGCATCTCGGGGCTGCCTTCGCACGCGCCGCCCCTGCCCCCCCAGCACCGCACGGGGCAACGCTGTCGCCCTCCCGCCCCGTCCCTTGACCTTCCCTCGGCGGTGCACAAGCCTCCCTCTAGTAAACCTCCCTTGAGTGAAGACGGCCTGGGGCCAAAACCGACGGACCTGGACCCGCCAAAATGACGGCCGCGACGCCCTCCCGCGATCGAACACGGCCAACCCGCTAATCGACGTGTCAGGGTAGGAGGTTAACCAACCTCCGATCCCCCGAGATGATCACTCGACCCGCGGCCCCAGAGCTCCCGAACCCTGCGCCTGGGGGCAGTTGGGCGCCCCGAGGCCCACTTTTGAGGGCCCCCCCCCCCCTGGGCCCGAAGGCGGCCCCCGAGGGCCGAGGTCGAGGCCCACCCCCCGGCCAGAAGCACGGCGTCGCCGGAGACCTCTCCTGCCACATTTGGCGGCGCGCACAAAGGGGGTGGGGTGGGGGGGGGAGGGCTTCTTAGAAGCAGGGGTGCTTCTAAGAAGCCCCCCCCCCTCCCCCCACCCCCCTCTGCGCGTGGCTGACACATGCAGGGGCGACCCCCGGGCAAGAGGTGACCTCTTTGGCGCGCGCCCTTCGGGGGCCGCGGGGAGGCCAAGCCCGAGCGCGCAGGACCCTGCGGCCGCACTGCGCTCCGCCCTCTGTGAAGGGGCCCTGGGACACACAAATAAATACACACAAATAAAAGGATTCCCCATATCTTCCTATATCTTCTGGGTCTCTGTCCTCTCCCCCACTGCCCATCTTTTCCCACATTTTCGGGGGAATCGACGACTCATTGTGTGTCTGTGTGTCTTTTCTCCTCCTGAATCTTGGGGGCCCGGCGTGCCCGCACCAAAGGGTCCACCCCGGCGAAAAAAAAAGTCGCTCTCGCGCGCGGCCCCGATCTGGGGCTGTCGCCCTGCACCGGCGGCGGCGCTAAGGGCGAACAGCCCAGGGCCGGGCATTAATTACACGCATTCGCCTGGGAGCCCTGTCGAAGACGTAGATCATCTGAAGGGGCCCCAGGACACACAAATAAATACACACAAATAAAAATATTCCCCATATGTTCCTACATTTTCTGGGGTTTTGTCTTCCCCCCCACTTCCCATATTTTCCTATATTTTCCTGGGAGTGAACGATTAATTGTGTCTGTGTTTTTTCCCCCCTCTGAAGATCATCGGCGCTCCTGGATACGTGAATTGCTCTCCCCTGGGCCAGTCGCCCCTATCGTCGCCTCCAACTGTACCCCCGGGCCTCTTGATCAGCCGAGCAGCACGGAGCCCGCTCTGGTCTGCGCGCCCCAGCTGCAGGAAGGAGTCCGCGGCGTCGGTGGCCACCGGCGTGGGCGCTGGCGCGGCCTCGCGAGGGAGGCCCCAGCCGACCACCGCCGGGCGAGCCGGCGGCAAGGGAGGGGTTCCCACGCGAGAGGGCGTGGGGGCCTTTCGCCGGAGGCTTCCTGCCCAGGCCCCCGTCTGGTCACGACCAAGCCACGACGGACGGTCTCTGCTCCTTCTCGGACTCCGGGGGCCCTCGCGGGGCCCCAGGGCCGTCAAACAGCGACTCGGGATGAAAGGCTGGTCCCGGGGAACGGGCCGCGACCTTTGGGGGCCCACGGCCTGAACAGAAGCATGCCGTCGGGGATCCGGGTGCGAGGCGGGGATCTGCCCCTAGGGGGGGAGGCCACTTTTCGCCACCCCTCACGAGGATCGTGGCCTCCGAGGGGGGGGGGGCTGCCAACGACTACCCCCCCTCCCGCCCCAAGGGGCCCCCAAGAGCCACCCCTCGGGAGCTCGATCTTCGAGTGGGCCTCGCCAGGCGGCGGGTGCGGACACCTCTCCACGCAGTGCCCGAAGCTATCCGTAGCCACCGCCTGCCGAGGCCCACGGAGATCGATCCCCCAGGCGATGGTCGTGGGCAGATCCCCGCCTCGGAGTCGATCATCGTTCTTCCTCATCCTCCTCCTCGGAGCATCCTCCCCCTTTCCTCGTCGTCGCCCCTCCCCTCAACCTTCTCCTCGCCTCGCCTTCCCGCACGTCCAGACGTTGCGAAAAAATGCAGCACCGTGAAAAATCACGACCGCAGCCCCAAACTTGTCGCGCCAGGTTCGCAAAGGTTCGTCCTCCGACCCTCAAGGCGACTGCCGCTGCCAACGCGGCCTATCGCTCGGAAGAGGGGGCCTCCCCTCCACCTCCTCCTCGCCTTCGTCCTTCGTCCTCCGATCGGCCAAGATCCCCACCCCCCCCCTTCAAAGACGGCCACTGCCAGCGCGGCCTATCGCTCGGAGGGGGGGCAGCTTACGGCCAGCGTTGCGCGGGCAGCCTGCGCGCGAACGCGCGCGCGGTCGGCCCAGCCTGTGCGCGCCACCGCGGGATTGGCGCGCGCGGGAGCCGAGGCGGAGAGGAGGCGGGGCAGGGGAGCAGGAAGGAGCGGAGGAGGACGAGGAGGAGGACGAGGACGTCGACGAGGACCAGGAGGCGCGGCGTCGGGGAAGAAGCTCCTCCCGGCTAACCCGCCTGCCCCTGGGGCAAGCCGGTGGCTGTCTCAGCTGCCTCGCCGACGGTGCGGGCCTCGGCAGGTTCGGGAGCAGGATGAGCACGGCCCAGAGATGCGGAGGCGGGTTATGTTGCTCCCATCGTACTTCAGGACCACATCCCAGAAGTAACTTCGAGCACCCGGGAAAGTGTCCAACGGGTGTCGAAAGAGTGTCGAAGCAGTGTCGGAGGAGTGTCTCCCAGGGCCCGGCACGTGGAAACCCTTGGGTTTCGGTACTATCTTGGTGCTCAGAACTCTTTCTGACGATCAAGGCCAAAGTAGGCTGGAACATAACCAGGAACGGGGAGGAGGGCGGGGAGGAGGCGGGGGGGAAGGCAGGGGGAGAGGAGCGCAGGAGAGGCGGCAGGACCACGACGGTAGCCGCTGCCCGCCAGGGGGTGGCGCCCCCGCGGGGGCCCCCGCGCGCGGGCGGCGGCCGCGCGGAGCCCGCCGCGGGGTCTGCCGGCGGGGGGGGGGGATGGCCCCGCAGCCCTGCCTGCGGCGGAGGCCCCAAGGCGGCGCACGCGGCAGGCGGCAGCGGCGGAGGAGCCGCCGCCCGGGGCGGCCAAGCGGCCGGGAGCCCGCCCCGGCGCCGCCGCGCCGGGGCGACTCCGCGGGCGGGCTCGGCTGCCGCTGCGCCTGGAGGGCGCCCAGCCCAGTCTGAAGCAGCATCGCCCTTCTGAGAGCATGGCTGGCAGGTGGAGTCGTGTGAGCTGCGGAGCTCCGAGGGGCAAGGGCGACGGGCACTGCAGGACTTCGAAGTGGCACCTGACGAAGGTGCTGAATTCTCAGAGTCTGCAGGAGCCCCAGAAAAGGAGAGCGGAGACTGACAAATTGAGGGTTGAGTCCAAGGTGATCGTGACACGCACTATGCAGTGCACCAAGCAGTATGCAGAGAAGCATCGTCACTTGGAACTTCTGCTATATGGGCTGGCCGCCATCCCCAAACGAGCGTATCGTTAAGACCCGTGGAACTTTCTTTCTAGTGTATAGGCCCGTGCTCCCGTCCCTCGGTTGCACGACTTGGCCAAGCGCTGGTCCCCCTTCCGCCTCATCCTCGTTCCTCTCTCCTCCTGATTCCTCTTTCCTCCTCCTCCTCCTCCTCCTCCTCTTCCTCCTCCTCCTCCTCCTCCTCCTTCTCCTCTTTCCCCCCATCCGCCCGAGCCCCGAGTCTGGGGCCGCTGCAGGTTCTGCCTCTCCACCAAGCGAGAAGCTCGGCGTGCTCGCCAAGGCCAAGAAGCTCATCGGCGTTCCTCCTCGTTCCTCTCTCGTTCCTCCTGCTCCTCGTTTCTCTCTCCTCCTCCTCCTCCTCCTCCTCCTCCTCCTCCTCCTCCTCCTCCTCCTCCTCCTCATCCTCCTCCTCCTCCTGATTCCTCTTTCATCGTCCTCTTCCGCCTCCTCCTCCTCCTCGTTCCTCTCTCCTCCTGATTCCTCCTTTCCTCCTTCTCCTCCTCCTCCTCCTCCTCCTCTTCCTCCTCCTCCTCCTCCTCCTCCTCCTCCTCTTCCTCCTCCTCCTCCGCCTTCTCCTCATTCCTCCGCCTCCCTCCTGGCTCAATCTCCTCCCCCGCCCCCTTGCGCACGAGCGCGCGGAGGGTCCTGCTGGGATCCCTCGCCCTGGGCGCTGCGCTGGGCCAGGCCGTAGGTCCGCCCCTCTGCGCCCGCGGTCGACTCGCCGATGAGCTTCTTGGCCTTGGCGAGCACGCCGAGCTCCTCGCTTGGTGGAGAGGCAGAACCTGCAGCGGCCCCAGACTCGGGGCTCGGGCGGATGGGGGGAAAGAGCAGGAGGAGGAGGAAGAGGAGGAGGAGGAGGAGGAGGAGCAGCAGGAGGAGGAGGAGGAGGAGGAGGAGGTGTAGTCGGAGGTGCGGCAGGACGTTTGCAGGCCTGGGCGGATTTGGTGTCTTTGTTTCCCCTCTCCTCCTCCTCCTCCTCCTCCTCCTCCTCCTCCTCCTCCTCCTCCTCCCTCCTCCTCCTCCTCCTCCTCTCCTCCTCCTCCTCCTCCTCTTCCTTCTTCCCCTCCTCCTCCTCCTGAACTCTCCTCTTCCTCCTCCTATCTCTACTTTCCTTCCTCTTCCTCCTCCTCTCCTCCTTCTTCTCCTCCTCCTCCTCCTCCTCCTCCTCCTTCTTCCCCTCCTCCTCCTCCTCCTGAACTCTCCTCTTCCTCCTCCTATCTCTACTTTCCTTCCTCTTCCTCCTCCTTCTCCTCCTTCTTCTTCTCCTCCTTCTCCTTCTTCTCCGCCTCCTGGTATGTCTGGTTTGGGGGTTTCCCCAAACCAAAGAAACGCAGCGTTTCTTTGGTATTCCTGGTTTTGAAATTTCCCCGAAGCCCCAGGGCCTGAAAACGCCTGTATGCTCAGGTGTGTCTTGAATGTCTTGCCCCTCGGGGCCACGAAACACTGATATGCTATGGTATGTCTGGTATGTCTGGTCCCTCGGGGCCACGAAACCTTGGTATGCTCAGGCTTTTGGTAGTTGTTTTCTGTGGGTTGTTCTGAACTACAGCCGCGCAATCAGTCGGGGAGCCCAACAAGTTTCGGCAAAAACACAAACAGAAGCATGGCTTTAGATAAACAGCTGAGCATACTAGGGTTCCATTGCCCCGAAGGGGATAACATACCGAAAACACTTGAGCATACCAAGGTTTCGTGGCCCCGAGGGACGAGACATACCAGCAACACATGAAATGGCACGGTTCTTGGCTCCCACATGTACCAACCACTGGACAATCACAGAGCTTCCTTGCCCAAAGGCCACGAAACGCTGGTATGCTCAGGTTTTGTCTGGTATGTCTGGTCCCTCGGGGCTAGAACACGCTCGCATGCTCATGTTTTTCAAACTTGTTGTTTCTGGCTTGGCCGAAACTACAGCCGCGCAGTGAGTCGGGGAACCGATAATTCGAAACAAATATCAATACCAGAAAAACCTGAGCATACCAAGCTTTCGTGGCCCCGAGGGACAAACAAAAACAGAAACACCTGAGCATACGATGGTTTCGTGGCCCCGAGGGACCAGAAATACAAGAAAACCCTGGGCATGCCAGGGTTTCGTGGCCCCGAGGGACCAGAAATAGCAGACGCACATGACATGTGCACGGTTCTTGGCTCAATAATGCCCAAACACTGCAAGATCATAAGGCTTCCTTGCCCCAAGGCTACGAAACGCTGGTATGCTTTGGTGTTTCATGTATTTCTGGTCCCTCGGGGCTAGAAAACGCTGGCATGCTCAAGTTTTTCAATGTTTAAACGTTTGTCCGAAACTACGGCCGCGCGGGCTATAGGGCTATAGGGCTACGCTATAAGGCCATAAAGTTGCAGGTCTATAGGGCTGAAGGACTACCAGGCGCCCCGGCACCCAGGAAATCGGCGACGAAACACCCGGGCACCCGGGCACCCAGGCGTGCCGCCGAAATCGGCGGCACAGCCAACCCAACCATATGAATCTGCTAAGACCCCTACAGAGGCAACGGCCGTGGGGAACTATCGCAGGCGGGGTTTTCGATAGTACGCAATTTTAGTGTCATCTGTCAATGTGTTATCTGCTTGTGGAAAAGCACCACTATCTACAATCCTTTTGGCAACAGGGGGGCAATAGTCTTTCGCCGCAGCGGAAAACAATCGTTCCCAGGAGGAACGGATATGACATTCAAGAGTATTATGTTTTATTTCTAGCCCCTAGATGACGATGGATTTCTCGTGTTTTCCAATTATTATCTGCATCTGCGCGCCAGAGAGGTTCTTCGTGCCAAGGAGGTAGCGAAACCATACTCTTGGGACATCTTTTGGGGGACCTGACGCGGAGCATGTCTCTGATGTCAAATACACCAGCACACGCGATTGAATCAATGCGCTTCTGACCTTCAACGTCTGCTCTCAGAGAGCAATTCCCCAATGCGCGCGCCAGAAAGGTTCATCGTAGCACGGGCACAGCGAAACCATATTCCTGGGCCATCCTTTGGGGGACCTGGCGCGGGGCATATCTCTGAGGCCAAATACACCAGCACACGTGATTGAATTGAGGCTTCTAACATCAAACGTCTGCTCCCATAGAGCAATTCCACCATCTGCGCGCCAGAGAGGTTCATCGTGGCACGGGCGTAGCGAAACCATACTCCTGGGCCATCTGTTTGGGGACCTGACGCGGAGCATGTCTCTGAGGTCAACTACACCAGCACACGTGATTGAAGTAAGGTGCTTCAAATATGAAACTTCTGCTCTCAGGGAGCAATTCTTCCATCTGCGCGCCAGAGAGGTTCATCGTGTAGCGGGTTCAACGAAACCGTAGTCCTGGGCCATCACTGCTTGGGATCTGACGCGAGGCATGCTTTTTGAGACCGAGTACAACAGCAAACGTGACTGATTGAAGGTGCTTCTGACAGCAAGTTCTGCTCACAGGGAGCACGTATCACATCTGCGCGCTGTAGAGGTCAGGCACGCTTCGGGTGTAGCGAAAACGTATCCCTGGTCCATCTGTTGGGGAACCTGACGCGGAGAAGTATTTCTGAAGCGAAATGGCAAGGCAAATGTGCACGAGCAAAGGTGGTTCCTTCTGCGGGAAGGCATCCTTCTGCCATTCGTTCAGAGGTTACAAGAAAAAACTCAAACCGCCCAGGCCTGTAGACGTCCTGTAGTCGGAGGAGGGGGACAAGGAGGAGGAGGAGGAGGAGGAGGAGGACGAGGCAGAGTGAGTGGGCAGCGTGGCTTGGCGAGCACGCCGAGCTCCTGATTCCTCGCGGTCGTCTCGGACTCGAAGTCCGCGGCCTGGCTCATGCAGTGGTGGTGCAGCTTCTCCAGCGACGCGACGTCCTCCTGCAAGTCCTTGTTGCCCATTGACAGATCTCCCTCCGCAGCAGCCTTCTTCTGTCCTGCTGCTGCCAGCTCCACCCTGGCCTGGCCCATCTCCGCCTTGGAGTATCCCATCTTTGTGTCCAAAGACTGCTTAAACAGCTTGTAGTTCCCAGCCTTCGTTGCCTCATCGCGCCGCAAGTCCGATAAGTCGGAGGTGGCCCTGTCCAGCAAGCCCTCCAAAGTGTTCACGATGCCGCCACTCTTGCTGGCGTACGCCGCAGAATCGGGTGCATCGAGAGACAGTTCCGAGTCCTCATCCTGGCTGGCATCGCCTTCTCGAGAACTGCCAGTGGTCTGTGCTAGGGATTCTGGGTGCTCGAACCCACTAGCCCGGATTCCATAGCCATCCACCATCGCGACCAACGCCTGCACCGCGTTCATTGCGCTCTGGCGCTGCAACAGTGAAGCCCCGCTTCCGCTCTTGTCCAGCGTGTGTATTGCTTGTTCGATCGCCTGGATTGTCTCTGTGAGGCCCTGCTCATACTCGGTAAAAGTTTTCGCCTCCTTTTCGCGCAGAGTGGTCGCAGTGCTCAGCTCCTTCTCTTGCGCTGCGATCTCCCCAGAGAGTTCTTCAATGCGGGTTGTTACCGAGGTGACCTTGTAGCTGGACTGCTCGATAACCGCCGACAACGAGCTTGCCCTAGATTTCGCCGTCTTGATCTCTACTCGAAGGCTCCTGGATCTGTCCTCGCACCACTCGGCCAGCTCCTCGTACACCGCCTGGGCCTTCTCCGCCTCCGCAACGAGCTTACCCTGGGTGACGTCGAGCAGCTCCAGCACCTTCCGCACCGGGCTGTCCAGCACCCTTGCTCCGACGGCCTCCGCCCAACACGTGGCGGCCGCGATGATCGGCTACACGCAAGAGTGACCCCAGACCTCGTGTGAACCGACGGCCCACGAGAGGCCGAAGGCGCGAGCGCATCAGGAGCTCCAGACAGCCCCCCTGATGAGGCCTCACGCTGTGAAGATTGCCCTGTCTGGGGCCGCGGTGCTTGAAGGTGTAGATTTGCCACAGGACCAAAGGCCTCATGAGGCCCCTGGGCAAGGAGTGACCTTCTCTCTCTCTCTCTCTCTCTCGAGAGAGAGAGAGAGAGAGAGAGGGAGAGAGGGAGAGAGGGAGAGAGGGAGAGAGGGAGAGAGGGAGAGAGAGAGAGAGAGAGAGAGTGACCTCCGGTGCGCGGCTCTCCGATCGCTGCGCCCGACGCGACAGCAGCGGCCTGCGTGCTTGGGCCCGGCCCCTGTGCGACCCCCGGAAGCCGCGCACCAGCGGCCACTCCAGCGACGGGTCCCTGCTGACAAACGAACGACGCGCACACACACACACACACACACACACACACACACACACGCACACGCACCAACCAGCGACGGGTCCCTCCTGACAAACGAACGACGCACACACACACACACACACACACACACACACACACACACGCAACCAAACCCACAGGGGGGCCGGAGAGGGCCATGGCTACGGGTGCGTGTGGTCGGATGGGGGTCCCCGCTCGAACAGGAGTGTGCCCCAGGGGTGCGACAACCCGCGCCCATACCCATAGCCAGTCCTCCTCCCGTCTCCTCCCACTGGCCCCCCTACAATCGGGGCGTTGACCTAAGGAACCCTAAATAAGGAACGAGGCCCTCCCATCTCCTCCCACCGGCCCCCCTATGGGTATGGATGTGTGTTCTTCGCTCGGGAACTCTTACGTGTAGCCGAGATGAGGGCGATCGTGCTGACCCGGCGCGGCCCCGGCAGCCACGGCCGCATGCCCGTGCCCGCCAGCCGCGGGCAGACGGGCCTTCACCCGCCGCGCTGCATTTCGGCCAGACTACTTCGAGCTCGTGCCGAGATTGCCGCAGGGCGGGCGGAGATGTCAAGAACGCTGGGGGCGCCCGCTTCCGTTTTCAGGATGGACGTGTTTTCCTTGAATTCTGGGGCCCCCTTGCTTTGTTGGGGGATTCTCGCTCGTGCCGTTTTCGGTTCGGTTCCGTTGTGTGCTGGCGGGCTGTTCTTTTTGGGGCTGCCGTGTTCTTGCCCGTGTCGTTCGGCGGCAACTCGACAAGTGGAAACCTAAGAAGAAGCGCCCCCAGCGTTTTTAAGCTTAACTTCGGTGGAGACTGCCAAAAAGAGCGGAGGAGGAGGACCAGGAGCGCCGGACCTGCCGCGCAGCTCTTTCGACCTCGAGGGGGAGGCGCGAGGAGGCACCGCGGGGGCGGTTTTTTGAAAACTGCTCCCCATCCTGCGACGGCCACGGAGAGACCACCGAAGCCATCACCCCCTACAGTTGTCAGGGCGCTTCATACACTCATGCCCAGCTGGCCCCCTTGAAGTCCTAGCCAGGAATCCCCGAGGGACCTTCCAGCCCCGGGCACCTGCTCGACCAGAAATCTCTGCGACAAGAAACGCGAGAGGGGGGCCGTTGGGCCAGGACCTGTATGCAACTATAGCAGCGTCGTTGTTGATGAATTCTCATGTCCAAGGAGAATAATCATTGTCGATCCCCCCCTTCAGGTGCACGTTGTCTCTTCAATTGAAGTGCTCCTCCTGGGGGTCCTCCTCAGATTGGGCACCTGGTTCTCTACTTACAACAGTTACAATACTTACAATCGTAATAGCAGCAGCAATACTAGTAACAACCACACAAACAACAGCAGCAGCAGCAACACCAACAGCAATAACAACAGCAGCAACGTCAATACTCATGTTAAGACTGTTCGTTCCTGTCTGCTTGTGTGCCATTCAACACGTAGATCCCAAAACTTCGATACCCGCCTTCTTCGTCTTCGATCGTACCCCCTTGGGGGTATATCTAGCTTACCTGCCACGTGCATTTAGTGCAGCCCCTAAAACAAGGGAAGAGATGACGGATTGAAGGGGGAGGGAGAAGGATGGAACCCGAGAGAAATTAGCAGGAAGGGGGCTAGAAGCAAAAAGCATGTAGCAGAACCAGACAGGCAGATCGGGTGAGCAGACCCCAACGGGCGGGTCGGGAAGGCGGGCCTAGGAGGCCAGGCCGAACAGGCGGGTTCCTGAAGCGTGAGTCCTGCATGAATCGCGAGGAGAACTCGAGCGATACCGCGATTCCTAAGTAAATCAGGTGAAAGGCCAAAATAAGAGTGTGATTCCTGAGTGTCGACGGCGCAGCGCCTGAATAGATTAGAAAGAAATCCCACGCGCGAGCGCGATTCCGATATATATATATATATATATATATATACATATATGTTGTACATCTATATATACTAAAACCATCGCGCGCTTCGCGCGCGCTCAGGCTCTAGCAGGCCCCAGGCCTCGACGAATTCACTGCTCCACTGAAGTAGTGGACCACAGTCCACGCATGCCAATTTGGACCGAAAGGCCTTCGAGGAAAATGGTTGTCTAGGGGGGCGGAGGCCGTATGAATCGGGTTCCCAGAAGGACTTCTGGGAGCATGGTTTTGGGACGTCTTGGGGAGCCTGTTGGGGCGTGCCGTCGTCGTCGTCGTCGTCGTCGTCGTCGTCGTCGTCGTCGTCGTCGTCGTCGTCGTCGTCGTCGTCTTCGTCGTTTCGTCGTCGTCGTCGTCGATTCAAGAGGGCACTCGGGGCAACTTTGTGCGAAACGACCTGCGGAGGGCCGCCAGAAGACGATCAGTCATGTTCCCAATCAACTTCCCAGACAGCTCTCCTGTAGCATGATGGTACTTCGAAGCCTCGGGAGACTCGCGGGACCATGATGAACCATGTCCCCCGAAGGCTTTCTGGGGACATGGTTTGTTGGGGTGTGTTGGGGGGTCTCTTGGGCGTTCCCTGGGAGCCCCTTGGGGGCCTCCGGGAACTCTCGGGCCCATGATGAACCATGTGCCCGGAAGGTTTTCTGGGGACATGATTTCTTGGGGTGTGTTGGGGGGCCTCTTGGGCGTTCCCTGGGAGCCCCTTGGGGGTCTATTGGGGCTTCCTCGGGGCCTCTTGGGCGCCTCACGGGGCTTCGTGGGAGCCTCTTTTTTTTTTCTCGCAGGACACACTCCTCTGCATATTGGGTGACCGCGGAAACAACAGGAACAGCTCGCGGGAAGGCGCCGGCAAGAGGAGCTGGCCTATCCGCTGTAGCAGCAGGCGCATGGGCACCCACGCAGAGGAGGCAAAAACGGACGTAGTGCAGGAAGGGAAGCCTCGGCATACACGACGCGGTTGCACGAGCTCCGAATGTAGGAAACGGGATATCGAGATCGAGGAGACATCTGGGATGGTGAAGGGGCGGCGCCACTCCGCCAAGGTGGACGGGGGGACGGCTGCGCTTTGAAGTGGTCTGGCTGCCAGAGCATCATTAAAAGGTGAACTGTGTGCCGAACCGAAATGCGCTCTACAGTGCCGCAAGCTGGTACTCGAGCGTTTCGGATCACTCCACCCCACCCCCCAACCTCACCCTGGGCCACAGCCAATTCTCTCCAGCTTTACAACTGCTCCGAAAGGGCGACAAAAACTGGCGACTGGTAACGCCGATCTGAAACTGCAGAAATAAGTCAGGATTATACTGTATTAGTCGCGCGTGCGTTGCGCCCTCCCACCCCAACCTCCCGCTTTGAAACTGGAATTTTTCTCCAGCTTTGAAACTGCTCCGAAGAGGCGACATAAACTGGCGACTGGTGGCACCGATCTGGCGATTGCCACCTACGCCGACAGGAGGCCGACTCCTGAGAGCTGCAACACATAAGACCGCACAGACGCGACACCCTCGTCCCACCGAACCTGGCCCATCCCGTCCCAATGTCTCACAAGACCCACGGCACCGCCCCTGATGACACTTTGAACGGCCGGCAGCAAACGCGAACCCTGGCTGTTGTCACACTGCCAAGGTGGAGTTGACTGCCAAGGCCATGTCCGCACCCTCTGAGCAGCCAATGCTTGCTCATGATTCAAGACGGAGTGTGTCACCCACAGGTTACTGTGTCGTTCAAGACAACGCTGAACAGTACGAGATTCTCATAGCACCTGTCTCTGAACATCTGCTGACGAGAGAACGCGCTCGAGCGCGAAAGGGTGCCGGGTCCGCTACTACGGGCGAAATGGTCTTCCGCTGATAATTTCGTCATTGAAAGCCCCTTGCAACGAGATGAAAGGTACGTAATGCCCATGCCTTGCCATCATCAGCTCATATGTAACCCAGGCGACGGAACTTGACATTGTCCCGATGAATGCTTTACACTTTGACATGGCAAATATATCACGCTTGATTGCTCTTGTGGCCGAATCTTTTTCGAATATGTCCGAACCATCAACGTTGCCACGATACTTGGCACGATCATACCCTTGGCGGATGAGGCGTGAAGACCATCGACTCTGCTGGGCGTCCTCAATTACAGCATGATCATCCGTGGCCAAGTAGACGTGTTCGAATGGACCGTACAATCTCTCCATGACGTCCAATTGAGTCGAATAGTCCTCGAATTTGAAACAACGCTTCCATGTGTTATATTCATCCTCACACGCATCGTTGTGCCGGACATGCACGGCGACGCACGAGGGTGACATATGTTTGGTTGCAAGCCATTCATCCATTTTTTTGGTTTCAGGTGAATCTTTGTAGAAATACCAGAGGTGCTGCGCATGCCACCATGTCAGCGATCGTTTTTCTGCCCACGAATCATCAGGTATGTCAAATGCAGCGCTCTCTGGATTGCTCCGCCAATTGGCTTCCCCGGGTGCCTTGTAATAGTACTCTTTTGAGCGCATGTACTTCAAGGGATGCGCAGTATACCACTCCTGCCACAATACCTTATCTTCATTATCAGGCGATTGACTGCATCCCTCCGTCCATGGAAAATAACCCTCGTCGCATTTAC